TTTTAGAAATGGATGAGGTTTTTGTATGGAACATGGAAAGTTTGCAGTCCCAGCTTCCTATAGCTCCAGGCAGCCATGCTTGCTTCACCATCTTTATCCATGGGGTCAGCAACTTTATTTCCAAGGAGTCCACTGTGATAGATGGTGAGTTTGAGAGTAATGCTGCAGACGTTTTCATTTGAATAAAGACAAAAGGTTCTCTTTGTTAAGTATTTGCTGCAACTTTGACTGAGAAGTCTGTTTAACAATCCGAATATTGTATTTTGTCAACTAGTTTAAAGATGTCTGGTTATGTTTGTAAAGAAAAAATAACATTTTGATAAAGATCCTGTGTTGTATGTAGTAGAAAAGTGTAAATGTACAAATGTTCAAATTTATTGTTTTAATGAATCCAATCTTAAATACAGAAGTGTATTTTGTTATCCTTAAAGCAGAACTGTAGAAAATGCGAAAAGAAAAAGAAAATTTTAAATGAAAAAAAAATGAATAAGTATATAAGTGTGTATAAGTAGATAAATAAATACATATAAGATTTAGAATAAGAATAACAATAGAGAAGGAAAATAAAAAACTTTGGTTTCATCCAGATAAATCTGCTCAACTAAGTCCCGCTCGACGGCCTCGCTCCACGGGTTTGTCAGACCTGTCTACTGTAGCCCTCAAGTCTTCCCAGTCTTGGAATGATCTGGTATTGGTGGACCACAGTGCAAAGGTGGGTGTGTCCTCTATCACATTATCACATTTTACATAATATCGCATTTTAAGTCTTCCCAGTCTTGGAATGATCTGGTATTGGTGGACCACAGCGCAAAGGTGGGTATCTCTTCTATCACATTATCACATCTAACATAATATCACATTTCAAGTCTTCCCAGTCTTGGAATGATCTGGTATTGGTGGACCACAGTGCAAAGGTAGGTGTCTCCTCTATCACATTATCACATCTAACATAATATCACATTTCTAGTCTTCCCAGTCTTGGAATGATCTGGTATTGGTGGACCACAGTGCAAAGGTGGGTGTCTCTTCTATCACATTATCACATCTAACATAATATCACATTATCCCACCTAATGCACAGTGTACTCATTATCCCACCTGATGTAGTATCACAGCCAAGCCCAACATCACATTGGTAGGTTGTTGATGCAGTTGATGGTCACACCTGCTCCAGTATCACATTTATCCCAGTTTATTAATGCTCACATCACAGCATCACATTTTACACTTGTCAGAATTAATTCTAAAAAGGTTTTTTTTTATAAGTACTTCAGTCAGTAAAATCAATCATAACAGGCCCGTTTAGAATTACAACATGCCCCAGATGTGGCCTTCCAAAGATTAAATGCTATTACCTGTTTTAATGTACTGTAAACTTATATAAGACAATTTTTTTATTGCAAGTATTTTTAAGTCCTCCCTATGCTTTGTAATTGAAAAAATTATTTTTAATTTGTTTATTTTATTAACATTAATATATAATTAAAATTTATATGTTAACCAGATCATCCAAGCCACCTTCAAGTTCAAGTACAGCGGCGGTCCCGGTCTAGAACGAGGTTTCTGCCGCCATTGTGTGGTCCCCATGAACATCGCCATCCAGCCCGCGGTGGTCATGAAGGCCTGGGACGTGGTGGCCAGAGACACCTGTGATACTTGTAAACTGGTCCTCGATGTCCAGAACACTACTGACCACTGGGCTGAGCTGACCACTGGAGACCTGGCCATGTCCTCTGATGACCCAGCCTTGACCTCTGGGAAGACTCCTGTGACCCCTGGTGACCTTCTAATGACCTTTGGTGACCCTCCTGTGACCTCTGTTACACCAGGTGCAGTAACATTGGCAGAGAAAAAGACAAAAAGGTGGGACATGAGGGCAGTACTAACAGGTTCTAATTTGAAACAGAAATTAATTATTTATAAATTGACAAATCTTTTCATGGGGAATTGTAATGTCAAAGGTATGTATTGCACTGAAAACTTGGGCCACAATCCATAATTATTTTATATTATTTAAGTGCAATGTTAAAAACTTCAAAGGTTTAATTTTTATGGCCTGACATCCTCAAGATCAGCATACTTCATGTTATTATTTTATTGATGTTCATTCCTGAAGTGAATTAACCTGTCTGAAGAGATTTAACCCGAGTGGCATGCGCGCTAATCAGAGTTATCGTCCACATTCACCAACACTTTCTTGATCCAGTAAAAATTTAAAGTCAGGTATTAAGTGAAAGCTTGTTGTGATTTATTTATTTATTTATTTATTTATTTATTTATTATTTAACAGGATATGGATTCCTATCAGGAGGTGCAAAATACAAGAACTATATGACATTCCATTAGAAAACGACAATGAAGACGTAGAAAGTAGTGAACCTGTTCACAGGCGACACAGAGACTCTTTATCGCACCATCTCCATGACAACGCAGAAGGATCAGAGGTTGCAGAAAAGATACAGGAAGAGTGCCTTAAATATTTGTCTGAATTTGTGGACATTCGATGGAGTATCCCTCACCTACAGAAGTCTGGGAAGATTGCTGTGGATAAACTGCCATGGAGTGATGCTCAGTTGGAGCTTGTGAGAGAGACTCCTATTCACTGGGGTAGGCATGATGGAATGAAAAAAGAATAGAACATTTAATTGAATTTAATTTAATGTTAAGTGATTCAAATTAATTAAAGTAACTTAATGTGTTATATAAACATAAGAGAATTTAGAAAATTTATTTAGTGGTAAAAAATGTAGATTTTATTTACATCTGGAAACAGAGGAATGTCAATAAATGCTTTATCACATCCACTAGATAAAACTAAGATGTTATTTTTGTTATATTTTCAGATATTTCTTTAAACAAAAGAGGTTACAGTGGGGAAGCACATCAGTTCAACACTGGGGAGCTGGTACAGCTAGACGTCAGCCTTACTTGTCGCTCAGGTGAAACACCATTTTATAAAACAGAAATTAGACTCCAGTCCAAAGCTACTGACTAGTAAATTAATTTTTGTGTCAAAAGTGTTTTTAAAACGTAATGGGTCTGATTTGGCTAGTGGAAATTTGACAGTGTCTCCTGATAAATTCTCTCTCTCTCTCCGGATTAATGTTTTGCAATTTATAATATTATTGAGAGGGGGGCGTCTCGATAGTCCGAAGGTTCATTGGTCCGAAGGTCCTAAAAAATGTAACATTTTCATCGTTTTTTTAATCAAGGGTTCATTGGTCCGAAGGTTCTGTAATGAACATTCGGACCAATGAACCTTCGGACAATTGAACCTTTGGACTATTGCTACGGCCCCATTGAGAGCAGTTAGTTTTCTGAATTCCTTTTGTCCCAGTGGCTATAGTGACTATAGTGGTGTGTATAGGACCCGAAAAGTTGTTTTAAAACACAGAATTACTTTTCAGCAGTATTCTCTACACATAAAGACAGGAAAGTTAAATTGATTGCAGTCAATCACTCCCCTAGTGAGAATTGCTCACAGGTCAACCAACTCCTAAAGACTTGTAGTTATTCAGCCTGATAATGCTCTTGTGAATGGAGCTAAATGTAGTTATTTTGTAAATATGGTTCCAAAGTTAGTAATTATCATCACAGAATGTTATTAAATAATTATTTGTGAGATAAGATTTATTCTCATTCTTACAGTAGCTGATTCAGAAGGTAAATTGTTTGATTTAACTTAAGTTTCAAATGATATTTTCCAGATTTCCCTATCCCAGAATGCACTCTATCAGTACAGTGCCACAGGAAGTACAATCCAGACTTGTCATGTGATCGTCATGTGACTATAACAGGACAGTCTTGTAAAAATACACCTGAGGTTTGTTCATTTGTTTTGATGCATGTTTTCGCAAATGTGATCAATTTTTTTTGTTATTTTCTTTTTTATACATTTATATGTCCATTTTGTAGTTAAAAAAAATTACAAGAAATTTTTTTTTTTCAAAAATGATAATGGAACATGTTGACTATTTGTTTTGTATTATTTGTTTATTATTATTATTTCTTACTATTTTCTTACTTATTATTATTTCTTGCAATAAATTTTCGTCCATATAAATTATGTGCTTTCATTGACTACCTTTCTTAATTTTGTGAAAAACTGATTTTTATCCTGTACAATTTCAGCTCGGCAGTGGAAGCACATTCCGCCACACGTGTCACCTGACTTTTTACCATACGGGCCAGTACGTGCTGGATATTACATGCACAGAACTCACGAGTAACGTGCAGGAGAATGCATGCACATGGACGTGCTCCCCTGAAGTCAGCATAGATATCACAGACTCAGAATCAGTTTTATTATTTGACTCATCAGGTCATGTGAAGTGAATTTTGTCAGCCTATAGTCAGACTTGTTCTTGTGATCAAGATCAGATTGGAAGATATTAAGTGTTACTAATGGTCCACTTTAACACAGGAAGAGATAGTAGGATGCGAGCAGGTTTAAAATGGCTTCATTTGCTTGTAAAGGCAAAAGATGGGAGTTATGACACAGACAAAGGGGCATAGGCAGATTTAAGGTGGTGTCAACTGTGGGTATGAGCAATTGGAAAGGCAATTTAAGTATCGCAAGTTTGTTTTTATGTCTATTTGTTTATTTGGTGAAAGACTCCACCAAGAAATTGTGGAGAAATTGTCAATTTGCACTACTCTCTAGGATTACCCCCTGACTTGGTAACTAGAGAGTGAAAACCAGTGGACAGCTATCGAGTAAATAGGTGTGTTGGAAAATACTGAAGTCCCTTGTGGATCTCATTTGGGAATCCAGATAATGTTACGATGCCTTACGTAGGCACTCTTAAGTTGTTAGTTATGGTATGATTACTAGTCATTTTCATCTACCTTAGAATATTTTAAGACATACAATGAGCAGATGACTTTTTGGTAGAAAATAATCATAAAATTTTCCGGGAAATTTCAACACATTTTTGGTATTCACCAAAGTAATCGTTATCCAAAACCATTCTCTGAATTATAATTCAGAGGTGGATTGAGTCCTTCTTCTGGGTCAGATGGTCAGATTTTCAAGTTTACACTGACGAGTACCCAATTTTTCTGTCTGAAAACAGTCAAAACTGGAGGATAGATCAACAAAGATAATTTAGAAAACTGACAGAAAATAGCTCTGGATCCGCCCCTGCAATCAATGAAGCAGTTTTTGAGTACCGAGTCTCTTGTGTTTAGTCACTGTAAGTTTTGTATTACACTCTGGGCAATCGGATTAAAAAAAATTATAGATCTCATTTTTGCAGCAGTCCTGTATAGGAGTTACCTTGGTGATAAATTTCTGAGATTTCAAATTTTTTTTAATATAAAGGTGTCTTGTGGGTTGTATGTCTGTAACAAAGTGCAATTATTATCTGATGTCAGCTTGCTAAGAGCAGGAACTTCAGGTACTGGAGTTGTGTCAGGGGTAGGGCTTTTTATTATTAATTTAGGACAGACAGAATTGATAAGTAAGTTAAGGATGAAATTTGTTTATGTTTTGATTGTATCATGTGGTGCTGTATGAGTATAGAAACTTAACTGTAGGTCTGGGGCAATTTTTTTTTTTTTTTTCTTTTCTTAATAAAAATATGGTGGAAGGAATTATGAAATCCACAATGCGGGTGACTTTTATGTTTAAAAAACACTAGAGTATAAAGGCTATTCCTGGGAGATCCCTTGTAAATTTCTCCCACTTACTAAACCAAGAATCATGCACAATTTCTATTAAAAAAGAAAGATGTGTAAAATAATGAGTTTTCTCAAAATTTGCAATGGTTGTCCTCATTATTTAACCTACTTATGAATTTGGTCTGGCCATGTTATTTTGATATAATTTTAATTTTTTCTAGGGGTGGGATGTAAAGTTGGTGAAGGGGTAAAGTTGTTATAAAGAGTAGAATATAAAACAGAAAATCTGTACATATTCATACATTGGTGATCAATACTTAAATGAGATTTATAATTATTTTGCAGCACATTGTCATTTTCTGTTGTGGAAGATAGAAATTTCATGAACTGAGGTGAAAAAACTTTTTTTTTTTTTTTTTTTTGTAATTACCCTCAGAATCTGGACTGGAAAAGGTGACTGTGAATTATGTACGATGTGTTCACAAACTGTTCACCCAAAAATGTGTCAGGTTATTTTCAATCATATCAATGTCCTGGCCTTGCTCAATTCTGTAGCATAAAAAGCTGTGATGGATTAAAGCCAGACAGTGAGCATTTGACCTTTAATAAAAAAAAACTCAATTTTCCTGAAAAATCAACCCTTTTCCCTGAAACGGTAGGGTCTCTGTATCATTTTCATATAATCTATCAAGCAGAATTTTTCTATTAAAGGTCCAATGCCCACTGTTTTTCTTTACCAATAGTAAAACCTTATTAATGTACGTAGTGGTATCATTTTCTTTGTAGATACTTAAAATTTAATGTATCATATAATAAAATGGCTAATTATTACAACTGATTTCCCAGTGTTATGGAATAGTGGAAAGTTACTGGCTTTTGAAAAAGATATCTTTATTTATTTAAATATATATTTTATTTATTTAAGTTGGATTTAAATATGGCGTGCATTTTTACGAGATTTGCAGGTAGCATAACTACAAATTATACCATTAACCCTTTTTACAGGGGGATATATATGTTAAAATTTGTTATTTACAAAAATTTAATAACTTGCCTAAATAAAACGGACAATCATTTACATAATCTTTAAATGAAAGGGAACTAAGGATTTAGATTTACTCATAAATTAAATGTTTTCCATCTTTTAATTCTTCTACTACAGTGACTTTATAAAGGATGTGCATTAGAAGCATATATTAGGATGATAAAACAACATATTGGTGATAATTAAAATATGAATTTATTGCACTTATTTAACCACCATTTTACATATTATTCAAATGACAATATCATGGAAAAATTAATTATGACTCTTCAATGAAAAATGATTCATGAAAATGAGAATTCAGTGTCACCATAAAATGCAACATACAGCAAATTGCACCAAAAATTAACATCAACTCTAATAACATCACTATGTTTTCTAGGGTTTCACCATGACATTGTATGCACATTTTTCATAATAATTAACTTTTCTGGTCATCTCCAAACTAAAGATCAGAATTATGCAATTAAAAGCACTTATGGGCATGGACATTTTAAGATAGAATTACAATTCATCAACTGTTAACATAAATCTTAATAAAACCATCATAATGTGAAATATGATAATAATGACAGAATTGGGGGGGGGGGGGGGCACAAACAAAAAAGGTTTAAACCCCCCTTCCCCCCCCCCCCCCCCCCCAAAATTTAAAATACTATCAATAGCTTGTGCGTTATATTAAACATATATATTTGATTATAAAGACATCGGTGGAAACATTTCCCATGGTTTCTTATGAAAGCATGCGCGTATTTTAATTTCAGCTCCCATATCGATAATTGAAAATATTACTATTTGGATGTCAAGAATAAAGGACAAATAGCCCCTAGAATTCATCATATATCATGCTAAAATGTTTCCAATAAAATGCACATTTTCATTTCTGCATAATAGGCTTATCTTTATTATAATACTCCAGTTACAGATCANAAAAATAAAAAAAAAAAAAAAAAAAAAAAGAAAAAAAGGGAAAAAGAAGAAAAAGGAGGAGGGGGGGGGGGGGGGGGCAAAACGAACAAGTGTTAACACCTCCTTCCCCCCCCCCCCCTTACCAAATATGTTATGATAAATGTAACAAGAAATAACCAATTCCTCTGTCATGCATTTTCTGATCTTAGTGAGGCAAAATATCTAATCCTTGCCCTCCCCCCAGCATACACACACACACACACTTACACACACACACACACATGGCAATTTTAGACTATTATATTGATTATTCTGGAAATGATAGTCAATATGGCACATTACTGAACAAATAAGATTTTATACACTATGTTGATTAGTCACTTAGTTATATTTTACCTAGAAGCTTTGTAACCTAATACTGGACTAATAATAAGTCGAACTGACACATTACTTCAAGTCTGGATTACATTTACACAGGCGCTGTGCGACGAAATTGTCCGCACAAGTTTTTTAATCGTAAGGAGCTACAGGCTATGCCGAGTATGTCTACATTACATGGCCTTAAATCCGTACGATTCCGTGTGAAATGGGCCACCGTCTACCCCCGCTCAGATGTCATATGAAAAGGATATTACGGGCAGTATACAGGCACGGGCATCGCATTTCAAATGTAATCTCAGCTTAACAAGACTGAGAATATGTAGTTCCAAGTTATTAATTTTTCAACAGACCAACTAAAGTCTCAGAGTGGAAGCTGCAGAGTCTTCAGGTATATCATAAATCTAGTTAGATTAAAAGATTTAATATATGGATTCAGTTTCTTCAAAATAATATTGGATCAGTTGTATGCAAAATTTGCACAATTACATATTAACAATATCACAGTTATGATCTGATCCCTATGTAAAAGCATCAGGGCATATAAAATTATGTATGAAAACACTTTTAAAGCATATCAAACTAAATTATCTATCTATTAAATTTCCGACAAACGAAAAACTGGGTTTTGTAATGAGCAAGATGTGATCAGTGAAAATTTACAAAGCCAAATTTTCAATCTCCAAAACACAAACTTTGATTTAAAAGGGGTGGAAAATTGAGCACCCTTATCATTATAAAGGATTTAAAAAATTATTTAAAATTATTTTTAACATAATTCTACTTGATACATCATGCATATTTTGAAAAAAATTGAATGACACTTATTGTATTCGCCTTACGCGCATGAGACCAGTACCTTAAGTTCTGGATTTTGTTATTGCCAGCTTGATCCTGATTTCATATATAACCCACATCAGCAATACTGCACAGCTAAGGGACCATTCCCAGACCCTATTGTACTCAATCTCTGAGGGGATTTCACTAAATTGCAATCAACTTAAACGGCTTAAATGTCTGTCATGCCTACTGAAGCTGCTACGGGGTAATTAATTGTTTTGCAGAATAGTTTCATTTTTAGTGCCCTGACACCCTGGGCAAAGACCAGTAAAAAAGGGGTAACCATGCATGGCAATGGCAATAAGTATTTTAGCAGATTCTTTTTTTTTTTTATATTATGAAAACAAGTCCAAATCAGCTTCAGATTGAGATGCCTGGCTTTCAATGTACTTCATAATGTCATCTGTACCCATATCTGAAGACACATCCGGAGCAGAAAATAAATCCTCCTCTTTGGAAGCTGACAACTGTGGCTTTGAATCTGCTCCTGGCTTTGGCTTTGCCGGTAAAACTGGCTTTGTATTCTTGGCCACAGATGGTTTGGATGCTATGGCTGGTTTGGTTGCTACTGCTGGTTTGGTTGCTATTGCTGGTTTGGTTGTTAAGGCTGGTTTGGTTGCTATATCTGGTTTTGGCTTCGGCTTTGGTTTTTTTTAGCTTACTTTCATCAACTGATCAAGATCGTCTTCAATGCTGAAATAAAAAAACAAGATGGAATGCTCAAAAAAGTTCAATGATAACAGTCTATTTTTGTTTGCATACATAATTATCTGCACTTGGAACATTTCTTAATATTAAATAATTAAGTTTTAAATGACTGACCAGTCACAGAAATCTGCCATGTATTCCTTTACATTTCAAAAGGAAATACTAGTACTGACATTTAGTATATAAATTTGAGGAGTATGAGTAATTATAACAACTGCATTGGGACAAGTAAGTAGCCGGCGGAGCCGCAGGAGCCGGCGGAACATACGGGTCGGGACTAAAACCATGTGTACCGCCAGCGCCTACGCTGGTGGTACAATAACTAACCATGTATTGGATAATACTTTCATTTTTTTTTTTTAATTATTTAAAAAAAATCCCTGAAGTCAGAGGCGAGGATTTTCAATACACAATAACTAACCATGTATTGGATAATACTTTCATTTTTTTTTTTCTATTATTTAAAAAAAATCCCTGAATTCAGAGGCGAGGATTTTCAATACAGAATAGCTTACCATGTACTGGACAACATCTGTCTCTCGGTGTTTCGGAGACTTGAAAAAATGCAGCTCCGACACCACAACCACATGGTACTCTACCGTGCTTCGTATTAAACCGGGGATGACTTTGTGCGTTGGAACACTCAGGTCGAGGCCCATGTCTTTGTTCTTTAACTCTCTACAGAAGAGGCAAAAAGATGGTTGTTATAATAAAGAAGAGAAAAAAATAGCACACTGTAATGCAGAAAGATGGAGAGAACAATTAAGACAGAAAAGCTGACAAATGTGCAGACATAAAAAAGACAGAATTAAGTTCACACAGAGAAATGAAAACAGATAGTGTTAAGAGAGAGAGAGAGAGAGAGAGAGAGAGAGAGAGAGAGAGAGAGAGAGAGAGAATCTAGTGCCAGTGCACAGTGAACAGATTTATGTACAACTCAGCATTTGTGTATCCTTGTATACTAATATTAGCCCCTAGCCACAGGAAAATATCATAAAACTTCACTCCGACATATTTTGAGAATGACAAAATTTTAAAATCAATTCAGTTAAGATTTGAGCGGTACAGTACAATGATCGACTTGGAGTAGATTTGCCATCCGGCAAATTTACCAAGGCCATGGAGGATGTAAAAAATAAAGCACTCAAAGTATTTTTCAAATTAAGAAATCAGCTATTTTCAGCGCCCACAAAAATTGCCTTAAAGTTATTCAAATCACTCCTACTTCCAATCCTTAGCTATGGGTGCGAAATTTGGGCCCCTTACCTACTACGTAATTTGACCATTGAAAAATTTTTTAATATATGCGAAAAGCCCCCTGCTGAACTCGTCCACCTAAAAACCTGTAAAACCATACTAGGGATTAACAAAAACTCTACTAATCATGCCGCACGTGGTGAGCTAGGCAGCTTCCCCATTCTCATCCAATTACTGTCACTGTCCATCAAATATTGGTGCCACCTGTACAAAACCATATACAATGGTCAGTCTACCTTAGTCACCGATGCTCTGATTGAGAACAGATCCCTATCCTCATCCGGTGTGTTTACATGGTCCTCTGGTATAAAAACTGTACTTAACATGAACAACCTGGGGAATTTATGGTCTAATCCAGTCTCAGTATCTGGTAAGATAGCTCAGACCTTGACCAAAAAGTCTCTGCACTCTGTATATCAGGACCAGTGGGCCACATTGATGAGCAAAACGGGCAGTGATAATAAACTAAGAACCTATGTTAAATTTAAGAAGGAATTTGTGTGTGAAAATTACACCCACATGGCCCCAAAAAATATTACGGCTAACTTCTGCAAATTACGTGTGAGCGCCCACAACCTCTCTATTGAACGGGGCAGGTACTGCAAGCCAAAAATCCCCGCAGAGTTAAGATTGTGCAAACTTTGTGATTCCAATAAAGTAGAAGATGAGTTCCACCTCCTGCTAGAGTGTAAAGCGTATGACTCACTACGTGATTCCTTCAGAGGGCAGCTGTCAGATTTCCTACCCCTGGGCGACCTCAGCAATAATAAACTGTTTAATCTTCTTATGGGTGCCCAAGACATAGACATTCTTAGAATGGTTATGTGTTTTGTAAATAGATGCTTAAAACAAAGAGAACAGGCCCTCTATTAATGCACTGTACTCTCTCCATTGTACTCATTCTAATTCATCACCTTCATGTATAGATTGCCATAATACATTCCTTATATAACTTATTATAAAGTAACTTATTGATATTATGCTACATGTAAACATTGAAATCATGTATATTTATTTATATACCTGTTTGTACTGTTGTAGTTAGATGTAATTGTCTTTGTCCTTGATTGTACCTTATTTGTAAAGGTGTATCAATAAAGAATCTATCAATCTGTTATTTTACTGACAACTGAATTCTTCAGTGTTAAACCTGCTGAATCTGTATGACCGTATATTTATTGAACGCAACTTTTAAGCCACACCAAAGTATCTGTAATTCGTCTTCGAAAGTCAAATAAGGAATGACATAAGTTTCCTTTAAATCCACATCCACCTAAAGTACTGAAGTACTGCATGTTGCAGTAACTTCAAACTGTCACCTCAGAATGTTTGGAAATTGTGCTTTGAATCTGATACCAAAATCCTTTAACTGAGTATCTTATATAAAAAAATGCATATAAACTGCAACTAAAATCACCTTACTGTTACAGTTGCTTGTGGCATTTCTGTGATGTAGTAATGAAACTAACTTTCTTCAACTACTGCATGGTAAATGGAAAACATCCCTTGACCTACTTTCCCCCTCCTTCTCTCGTGACCTTGACCCGCCCCTCGACATTACCACATTTTGGGGGCTTTTTGATTATTACCGAGAATGTATTATCTTCAGTTACACAATAAGGAGAGTTGAATTTTAATTTTGAATAAGATATATTACAAATTATTGTTAGTTGCGACACTCTGGTAAAAAAAGGAAAACGTGCTATACAGAAATAGTTCCCATAATGCCACAGTGCTGTAACGCCAAGATGGCTGCTAACAAACTGATGTCAGCGGTGGCGAAGTTAGCCCCTCGGGCTGTTCAGGGAGGGGCTAAGCCAACTTCGATGATACCAAATATGAAAATAGGTACCCCTTGGGCAGGGCTTAAAACAAGAGGGGAACTAGTAGAAGCAGGGCTTATGGGTAGGTTAATGAAACACGACAAATAAAAATACACATCCGACACGAATCTAGCTTAGTTGCGTAGTGTAACTTGTAGTAAATGAAAATAATGACGCATTCTCTAACTCAGAAGCACAATGGAGATTTGTCACTTATCACTCCCAAGGTTAGTAATCACTTTAAGAATACTTGTTAGAGAATGGTGTTTTAGTTATTCCGTCGAGAACTGGTGAGACAGGAATGGTAGTCCAAGGAATGGAAGTCCTGGGTCCCATATATATGAATGGGACCTGTCAGGGTTAGTCAGAATATCGGGGTCAATATATGACACGAATGTCACCTGTACAAAGTCATGGGGAAGGGACTTCAGTTCCTTGTGGACTTCCATTCCTGTCAAACTGGCATTACATGCTAGGTGTCCGTAGCGTAACTAAAACTAGGTTCCCATAAATCTGTCGTACTAGCAAGATGGATCTTACTCCGAGGGGATTCTCTCTAAGTTGCAGCCTGTTTAAGTGGCTTAAATGCCCGTCAACCCGCTGAACATGCTAGGGGGATAATTAACTTTTGTGCACACTTACACCCCATTTCCATAGATTAGATCGATCTACTTTAGATCGACCTAACTCCCTGGGGGTTCACGCTAAATAGCTGTCAGCCGGGCGGACACGAAAGTTAATTACCCCCTCTACAGCTTGTAGTAGGCGGGACGGACATTTAAGTCAGATTATCTGAAAGTAATCTAGTGAGACTCCCCGTGGGGATAGATCGATCTAAAATCTATGGGAATAGAGCCTTAAACTGAGGACAATTCAGTGAGAATCCCCTCGGAGATAGATCAATCCTGCTAGTACAATAGAGTTATGGGAATGGTCCCTAAAACCTTCCCCTGCTCAGTGTTTCAAACTCTAGTAGCTTCCTATACACGTCCACTTCCTTAAAAAAGACGTTTACTTTTGTCATCCTTTGCATCTTTGTACAATATAATTTGCATTGAAAGTTTGTTTCTGTGTCTGTTTTGGCACCAGCTTAATAAAGTCTTTTTATTCCCAACCAGCTGTATAGCTCTTTGCCTCAGTTTTGTGGTAAGTGATCTGTTCCTCTACTAGTTATGCAACCATTAAATTACATCTACCTATCAAAAAGGAGCAATAACAGGCTAACAAATGTGAGAACTAGTTTTGAAATATTCTTTTTCAGATGAATCGGAGCTCTCTGAACAGCACAAGAATGTGTTTAACTTTTCATATTTCCCAGAAGTTGGTAAGTAAAAGCAGGGATAGAAAGTGAGTTTTTTTTTTTTTTTTAGCTTAAGCAACATTTTGTACTGAACGCTGCTTTATTCAACAAGTGATCTCGCGTCATTACAAAAAGTGGCTTTTATACAACTTTCTTTTATTGCTTTGATCTTGCACAGATTTTCTGCTGCAGGCCTGTGTTCTACCAACGTGCCAAAAGTTAATTGTTTCTAATTACATAAATACGTTGTCGGGAGTGTCTCCTGAACTCCAGGCACTCCCAACAATTTTGCCATTGGTTGACAAACATGGTAGCAGTACAAAAAAGATGTAGCAAAACTTACTTTAAAGTTGAAATTTTAGCTTCAGTGAATATATTTAGAAATTATTTTGAGATCATTTGGTGCCGAGTCTGGTAGTTGGGTGGTCTTATGGCCCTGCAGAACATCTTCAGGCACTGAAATTCAGCATCGGACTTTATAAACAAATTAGGTGTTTTCTAACTCCCAGCTTCAGATTTGTGACTCCCCAAATTAATGACTCCAACCATGAATTAGCTACACCAACATTAAATAACTTGCCATAATCACAGCTTATCAATATTAAAGATGCATACAAAGTCAATTTTTTTGTCTCAAAAACCAACCAAATGCCAGTATATAGTTTCAAGTAGTATAACTAAGAGAATTACAAAAAGGCATTGTTTAATTTTACCCTAAAATGATGTTTGAACAGATTTTTCTCTTAGCATTCTATGCTGTATGTCAATGGGGCAGAAAAGTAGGTCACGAAAGTAGGTTAAATTTCGGACCAAAAATTTAAAGAAAGGAGCAGTCTAAAGGTTTTTTTATGGCTGATTGTGTGATCTATTCAGTTTATCCCTTGGCATGTCGAAATTATTTGAGTCGTATAAGAAACTAGTAGAAGTGGTTTACATGTGTTACTGGGAATCCACGCTCCACCGATGCTCGGTTCGTATGTACCTTTACGAAATATTACTTGCGTTTAAAGGTACATACGAACCGAGCATTGGTGGAGCGTGGATTCCCAGTAACATATGACACATTTGAAATGCGAAGGGATAAACTGAATAGATCACTCATTCAGCCGTAAAAGAGCTTAAAACTGATCCTTTCTTTAAATTTTTGGTCAAAAATTTAACCTTAGTTATGCAACTTGAAACTATATGCTGGCATTTAGTTGACTTATGTGACAAAAAGTTGACTTGATGTGTATCTTTAAGTGATTGGTAGGTAATATTTAACAATATCTCCAGGACTTAAGAAGGATGGCCATTTTCTTTTCTTTTAAATAATTTAATATTTTACAATAAGTGCAGGACTTATGTGGGATGGCCATTTTCTTTTCTTTTAAATAATTGTAATCCTATATTTTACAATAAGTGCAGGACTTATATGGGATGACAATTTTCTTTTCTTTTAAATAATTGTGATCCTATATCTGCAGGACTTATGTGGGACGACCTAGCATACGGCAGGGATCCAACTGTTCGAGAAGCTCTCAGACGCCTGCCTCCAGACGTACACGCGGCGAGAATGGTGCGCATTTCGCGTGCCCTCCTTTTGTCAGCTCAAAGGAAAGTTTTACCTGAAGAAGAGTGGACAACATTGGAAAGTGTATGTTTATATTTTCAGTATATATGAAGTTGCCCTTTTCCCAATATATGAGAATGAACATATGAACAGGGTATGAACTTGTTTTTGAACATGTTCAAATTATTTTATATCTTTTGGCATATGGGAACATACCGCAATGTTTTCCTGCATGACTTTTACGACATTTGTCAAAGGAATCCCTTGCGTTCGTCTGTGTATAGGCAGTTTTTTTCTCTTATAAGTTAGTACTATAGGCTATGGTGTGGCAGTACCTTCAGAATCAAAGCTTTCCGCGGACGGAACCTTGCGTGTTCTTGAGTCTAGATCTAGCAGCTCTTTACAAAATCAAATTTGTAAGTTTTAGGGGGCATTCCCATAGATTTTAGATCGATATATCCCCGTGGGGAGTCTCACTAGATTACTGTCAGATAATCCGGCTTAAATGTCCGTCCAGCCTACTACAAGCTGTAAGGGGGTAATTAACTTTAGTGCCCACTCGGCTGACAGCTATTTAGCTTGAACCCTCAGGGAGTTTGGTAGATCTAGTTGGATCGATCTAATCTCTGGGAATGGGGTCTCAGATTTTTTTTCAATTTGTGTTTCATCTTTTTAATTTTCCTTTTTGCAGGATATCCCATACATGGCCCCCTACATAGAGCAGGTTAAACGTGAAAAGGAGGAAATGAAGGAATGGAAGTCAAAGGATTGATCTTGGACCTTCAGTTGTTGATACAGTTGCCATGGATTTGGTTGCCATGGTTTTGGTTGCTATCGATGTGGTTGTCTTGGATCAGCAGCTGAAGAGTCATTAGTTAATTAATATTATTTAAGACAAAAGAAAAAAAAAAGAGAGAACTTTGTTTAACCAGCACAGTTTGGTGTAGTTTGACAGCAAATATTCACCACTTTAAAATTCTAAAATTTTTTCTGTTTAAAAGGAAGCAATTCTTGCGCATGCCTTTTACCAGAGATGTGGTAGAATTTGATTATTTGGCTTAATCGGCGAAAAAGAGTTGATAGCTGTTCTGCAACCCTTGGGGGAAATGCGGGACTTACTTGCCAATTTAAAATAAATTGATCGTGTTGTACATATATATGCTCGTTGCTCTGTTGTATTTCTGCAGCTGTTCTACCACAAGAGCGTACTAGTAAGTTTCTGATGGACCGACCATATACTGGTTTCTGACATGTACTTTAAGACGAGAGCGTGGACGTGCTTAAGAGGGCAATTTTCTTCAAGTTATCCCAATATGTTGCTGTCAATAGCAAACTTATTTCTACAGCTATTCATTTCGTATAGTCATTTTATTATATAATGCAGAGAGTGGGAGTTGTGATACTCAATAAATTTTCCTGGCCTGTATGTCAACCATTGAAATTAAAAGCTCCCGTCGAATACACTAGACACCACTTTACTATCCCCCCCCCCCCCCTTTTTGGCACCAACATTAATGCGTTACAAATTATCTTCCGATATATGTTGAATTACCATATATAGCCCACATAAAAAATTGTCACTTCAACTTGAACCAAACTCGGACTGAAACTTTCAAGTTGAAAACGGAGCTTACCGTACGTTATAGACTCATTCCCAATGAAGCTACGGAGATCGAAGNATTCCCAATTCTACGGAGATCGAGTCGATGCAATTCCGCGAACCTCTTGCTGAATTAACGGATTAACATGCCTCCTCTTAGTGGCTGATTTAGGAGGGGGCGGGGGGTCTGCTTCGCACCCGCGGATCCCCCCCCCCCCCCCCCCCCCTCTTTAAATAACCCTGAATCTGTCCCCTATTTTAGGGGCTAATCCAACTCGGGGGAAGGCTTGGTATCGGCTGGAGTTATTTCCCGGAGAAAAAAGTTACGCATCACCGCAGCTTTATTTCCAAAACCTTAAAGCAATTTTATTACCTGGACATTGCCTGGTTTTAGGGAAGAAACCGGAGTGACAGAAATCGCCAATCTTAAATGAGATAAGAGGCAATTGAAGGGAATTTCAACTGATAAACGAGCCGCGTGCACATGCATGCAACTCCATTAAAATTAATTTGAAGTCTGGTGATTATTTTCCCATTTGTACACGCCTTCTGTTTTTAAACAAAAAGTAAAAATTATAGAATATAATTTTTATTCAACTATTATATACAGTAACATCCAATTTCAAAAGTACTTGAACAATCATTAATGAATCATGTAAACGCAATGAATCTATAAACGGTAGTACCCGATGCTCTCGGGCCGTGGGGAAAAACCCGTCTAAACCCTTCGTGGGGAATACCGGGAAAGTGCCCACGCCCGGATATTTCATACACTATACTGGTACACAAGGTGGAGCACAAAAATTTACCTTTGAAATTCCTACGGAAGAGGTAATGAAGCCAATTAAGACACATTTAATCGAGTTTTAACACAATTAAACAGATTTCAAATTTATCTAAGGGGATGAATTAATAAATAAAGTGACTCAATCCTTTTACAATTGAAAGCATCCATCAAAAATTGAATATAGTTCTTTCTACTGCTAAAATATATAAAAAGTTCAGGTAATATGATTATAACCTAAACACCTTAAGGATTTAAACTAAACTTTGACAAAAAACTCGGTTTAAAATAAGTTCTCAAATGTAATTTTACCCTGCAATCGCAACTACATGTGCTTGTATGATACAAGTAAAAAGTAAAGCAAGCTTGCTTTGAAATATTTCAGATCTCACATTACACTTTACGGCCGTCCATGTAAATTTCAATGCGAATTTTTCGATCCGGAAAAAAGTGCATATGTGATGAATTGGATATATTTGTCAAATATAACACTTGAGAAAATCATAATGTTAGTGATATTATTAATGTGCGATCCTCTATCTTGAGAGATGACTGTGTGCACCCAGCCATCCCTCACGGGGAGCAGACTGTGTGTAAAAATATAATGAAGTATCTTCTCAAACGTAAAATATTTCATTATATCTTTTGCACAAGCTATCGATGTAAAACCTCTTCATGTAGGAGCATTTACATGAAGTCAGATTTTACAAAGATGTGAGGGTTAGTTGAGGTTAGTGTGCGGATTATGATCTTCTGAAACGCTATACTGACGAACAACTCCACATCATCAACAGCACAAATGTGAAAATTGACTACCTCACTAAGATTGAAATAAAACACAGACGACCGTAAGTGGTGGTGATACCAGTGTTTTTTGAAAAAAAAACCCTATCTGCATTTAGAATGTGGATAAAGCAACTGGGTATTCTATTTTAATTTTTAAAATAATTATAATTATTATAATAATTGTAGAAGCAAATTTTCACACAGAACCACAATTCATCTTATTCAATTGATCATTTATGAAATTATGAATGATTATCTTGAACTTCAGTTTTCTCTTATAAAATGACTCACTGTCATAAGTGAAAAAAATTACACCTGACTCGCACCTGTGACCCATGAACCGCAAAAATTCTCAATATCCAAGAGAAATGAGGACATTGTGAGACTGTATTCCTCTTACATTCACTATATCGCTCTTCATTATCATTCCACATTCTGTAAATTTGTTTGCAGACAAGCTGTGTCCTTAAAGACTGCTCGGACGTCTGATTATCAGTGAAAGTGGCTACAGGGGCTCGTTGCTAGTGCCATCAAGTGTATAACATCTTGGACATTTAGGCTAGGATTGATGGAATCTGCGTTCGGGCATTATTTCTGGAAAACTGCCCTTTCGTAGCCTACAAACAAAACGAAGTTTCTGATCACTGTCTATATAAGAAACGCAATAATACACCGTTATAACACAAAGATTTTATTTTATTTTAATTTTATTTTTGTAGCATTACACAATAAAACCACGTTATGATTTAGGAGAGTGCTAAGACTCTACAAAAAATAAAGTGACTTTAGAATAAGAGGGATAAAGGAAGGCATACTAATCACGAAAACGGCCAACAATCGGAACAATAGAGTTAAACAGACGAAAATACATGCTCACCTGTACGATGGCCTCTTAGTACCACAACCGTAGGACTGAGGGTGAGGTTGAGGGGTAGTAGCTCCTAGTATTCTAGTCCAGTGACGACGCGTGTATCAAACTGAGACTGATGAAGAACTGAAAGTAAGCCAATAGCAGGTCAGAATGTTTTGCACGATTTTTTTTTTTTTTTTTTTTTTTTTTGCAAGTTTGTGACAAATTAAGAGCTTTTGACCACTTTTTTTGCAAATATTTATTTTAAGTTTGCGACAAATTGAAAGAGCTTTTGACTTCTAAAATGTTTCATTAAAAGAACGAAATTGTCATCATTTACCAGTAATAACTGTGGACTAATCCTTTTCGTCTAAAATTAACGTCTAGCTTTTATACTTTTTATACTTTTTTTCAGGAAACCCTTATCCGTGATCTTAATGAGTAGGAATGAGTACCTGTGCCATGATGACTTCACCAAACTGTGAGAAGTAGGCCTTCAAGTCATCGTCTGCTCTTCCAAGGCAAACCCAGCAATATCAGGTCACTGCACTTCTTGCTGTTCAGCCGCTTTGTTTTCACGTTGCAATTTTCTGGGGTGTCATTTCCTTTTTCTTTTGTTCTCTAAAATGGTAACAATTTCCAATTATTATTAAGAATGTTTATTATATTACCAACCCTTTGTTGTATCAATATGTCTAATATTTTCTGTGAAATCAATGACTGTGACATCTAATTATTGTTTGGACCATTAGCTATTTTCTAAGTTTTAAAGGAGCTTTTGATTTAATTAAAATTTTAAATGTAACTGTTACATCTTGATTCTAAAATGCCAAGGCCTTCTTAATAATAAAAAATAATAATAATGCAATCCAGTCCAGTTCTATTGAAATTTGTATTCGGAACAGTGAATCCTGACTCAGTCCAGTAGATTTCAGAAAAGTTGAGGTCCGAATGGCCAATAAAGTGAAAAGTTAATGGCAAATACTGCAACTGAAAAAACATTTTAGTCTATTTTTCTCCCCAATATTACAGGTTACCTTTAAGGGTTTTCCTTCTCATTGAAACACGATGTGCCTTGGGCGCTTCCCCAGTGCAGCCACCTCGTAGACAGACCATGGCAGGACTCGCAGGACGCTTCCCCAATGACGCCACCTCGCAGGCAGACCATAGTAGGACTCGCTGGACGCTTCCCCAATGACGCTACCTCGTAGATAGACCATGGCAGGACTCGTTGGCATCATGGATTGATCGAAGTAGCTGAAGTGTAGATGTGTCCCTCTTCTTCTTGCAGTTGTCAGTGTGAGCTCTATCGAGAATAGCCATAATCGAGTTCTGTAAACAGAAAGAAAAACGGATTTAGGACTTTTCTACCTATGTCAGCACTTTGTAGCCAGGCTTACCTGTAAGCGTTTTCCATCTCACTGAAACACCATGTGCCTTGGACGCTTCCCAATGCAGCCACATCGTAGACAGACCATGGCGGGACTCGCTGAACCCTTCCCCAATGATGCCACCTTGTAGACAGACCATGGCAGGAATCGCTGAACCCTTCCCCAATGATGCCACCTCGTAGACAGACCATGGCAGGACTCGCTGGACGCTTCTCTAATGACGCCACCTCGTAGACAGACTATGACAGGACTCGCTGGCACCAGGGATTGATCGAAGTAGCTGAAGTGTAGATGTGGCCCTTTTCTCCTTGCAGTTGTCAGTGTGAGCTCTATCTAGAATTGCCATAATCGAGTTCTGTAAACAGAAAAAAAAACGAATTAATGACTTTTTCTACCTACGTCAGCACTTTGCAGCCAGGCTTACCCGTAAGCGTTTCCATATCACTGGAACACCGTGTGCCTTGGACGCTTCCCCCAATGCAGCCATCTTGTAGACAGACCATGGCAGGACTCGCTGGTCGCTTCTCCAGTGACGCCACCTCGTAGACAGACCATGACAGGACTCGCTCTCACCAAGGATTAATCGAAGTAGCTGAAGTGTAGATGTGGCCCTCTTCTCCTTGCAGTCGTCAGTGTGAGCTCTATCAAAAATCGCCATAATCGAGTTCTGTAAACAGAAAGAAAAATGGATTTAGGACTTTTCTACCTATGTCAGCACTTTGCAGCCAGGCTTACCTGTAAGCGTTTTCCATCTCACTGAAACACCATGTGCCTTGAACGCTTCCCAATGCAGCCACCTCGTAGAGAGACCATGGCAGGACTCGCTGGACGCTTTACCAAGGACGCCACCTCGTAGACAGACCATGGGAGGACTCGCTAGCACGGAGGATTGATCGAAGTACAGGTAGCTGAAGTGTAGATGTGGCCGTCTTCTCCTCGCAGTTGTACGTGTGAGCCCTATCGAGAATCGCCATAATCGAGTTCTGTAAACAGAAAAAAAAACGAATTAATGACTTTTTCTACCTACGTCAGCACTTTGCAGCCAGGCTTACCTGTAAAGTTTTCCATCTCACTGAAACACCGTGGGCCTTGGACGCTTCCCCAATGCAGCCATCTTGTAGACAGTCCATGGCCGGACTAGCTGGACGCTTCCCCAATGCAGCCACCTCGTAGAGACAAACCATGGCAGGACTCACAGGCACCAAGGATTGATCGAAGTAGCTGAAGAGTAGCTGTACATGAAGCCCTCTTCTCCTTGCAGTTGTCATTGTGAGCTCTATCGAGAATCGCCATAATGGAGTTCTGTTAAAAGAAAGAAAAACGGATTAATGACTTTTCCTACCTATGTCAGCACTCTGCAGTCTGCTTCCTGGACCTGAAATAGAAGAAACCTGGAACGCATGGAAATATATGCAATGACACTACAATAATACAACCCACAACAGCAGAAAGCCGATGATGTATCCTGCGAAGATTCCTGAGCGACTATTCCTCGTGGAGAGAAGCGAAGGGTTTAGCTGGCCAGCTTAAAGAAACGTCGAATCCACCGTCCAGACGACTCCGTGTGCAAAAAACAACATGTCGATGAGCGAGGCGTTGACTTGACATGACGAAAAGATTCGGAGAAATTGTGAGTTGACTCCTGTGTCCGTTTGGCTTGATACGGGGCGCAGTACATGGCATCCTTCTTGTTGCTCCAGATCTGTCTGCGTTGAATGAACGAAATTTCAAAATTCCGCGCTTTTATACCTTCAGTGATATATATATAGTCACATGGTGGCGTTCCTGTTGTCACCAATGGTCAACTTGTTCATAGGGGGTGGTGTTTGATAGTGATGCGTAAAACTGATTATAATATCTTATTGACATATACATTTTATTTACTATTTTTTACGTTGATTATTCTGTGCATCATTTTATTTCATAATAAGAGTAATAAGCATTGAGTAGTGATTTCGAAATGTACAGGCAAATTTGATGACAATTTCTGAGCAACATATCTTCTCCCCAAAATTATAGTGTCCACGATGTCCGTTAAACCGGTACAGGTAGCCGTGAACTTCTCGTAGGCCACTATAGTACGTGCGTATTCGAACACTGTTCCAAAATGTGAATAATGGAATAGGGCATAGGGTGACTGCATTTTCGAGGCAGCCCGAGGGAGCATAATTGTTTTGATTGTAGTGAACTGTAGTACTTGAGTCAATGTGAAATTACACTGGACTTTGTATGTACAGCCACCTCAGTACCCTGAAACACATGTTGTAATCAACTGACTTGTTATTCTGAGAAATGAAAAACAAGTTACTGTGATTTTACGAAACGAAAGAAATCAGCACTAGGTCAAATGAAAAATTTTGATTTACTTATACCAGGCAGTAGAAATAAATGAATATTTTTACATACAAAGCTTCTATTGATACACACACACTGGACAATAGAAGTGTCTTCCCTAGTGAACCAATACGTTGGGGGAGAAAAATGACTATGAAATGATATGCTCCTGGTATCATTTTATAATAAAATAATATTAACATCAAATTTCACAAAAGAAACGGTTATGCCTGAACAATTCAACTGTATCGTAATTCTGGCATTGCTTATATTCCGCCTGTTCAGTTTAATAACTTTGATTAACTCTGATTCAGGGGGTGACACTTAGGCTGTATTCCCAGAGCTTTTAGATCGATCTATCCCCGCGGGGAGTCTCACTAGATTACTGTCAGATAATCGGGCTTAAATGTCTGTCCCGCCTACTACAAGCTGTAAGGGGGTAATTAACTTTCGTGTCCGCTCGGCTGACAGCTATTAAGCGTGAACCCCCAGGGAGTTAGGTCGATCTAAAGTAGATCGATCTAATCTCTGGAAATGGGGTCTTATATTGTCCAGTGTGTGTAGTTAATTACTAACAGCAGACGCCTCCCTTCGTGACTTTGGGTTATCAGTACTCTAATGCCAGTAGCATGAGTAGAGAAAATGGGCAAATAAAATAATATATAAGACAACAAGATAAAAATCAAAAGGAAATATTTCCCATTTATACGTTTACTTTATCCGCTTAAACCGCAGTTGAGATCTACACTTCGCGTTTTAACATTTTTGTAACACCCCATTTCCATAGATTTTTAGATCGATCTATCCCTGTGGGGAGTCTCACTAGATTACTGTCAGCTTAGCCGGCTTAAGCGTCTGTCCCGCCTACTAAAAGCTGTAAGGGGGTAATTAACTATGGTGTCCGCTCGGCTGACTGCAATTTAGCCTGAACCCCCAGGGAGTTAGGTCGATCTAAAACTTAATCTTTAGATCGATCTAAATCTCTGGGAAAGCACCCTAAGTCTCACTGGCATCCTTTTACATCTCCCTGTCGAGCATACAACCTAAATGTCCAGCACTGGAGCTTACATGTTACATGTTGCAGGCCCGTAACCAGCAAATTCAAAATAGGGGGGTTCTTTTTCTGAAAAGTGGACCTTTTATAATGAAACCTTTGTTTACCTAGATCAAATTGTACCCAGAATGGACCTTTTTCTGACCAAAAGGGCGGTTCTTCAACCCCCCCCCCCTCTCCCCGCCTACGGGCCTGTGTTGATAGGTCAGTTGCTCATTATTAATGTTTTCATGGCCAGGCAAACAACAGCTCCAATTGTATGTTTTCTCGGTGAGGTGGTCTTTGGCTCGACTCAGCTTGAAAATCGAACTCGGGACTTGCCTCGCCTGCCACGAGAACATGATTCTCAGTATATATGTATAAGTCCATGTAACAGTTTTTAAAAAATTAATTATAAATGAAAGAGAGAAAGAATTGTTTGTCCAGGTGGAAGTTTACTTACATCAGCCTAACAACTTGAATAACTGCAAAAAATAATTTCTAGATTTATCTGTTCTGACAAAAAATACATAAACGGACCGAAATTTAAACCATCGTTACCATTGCTCTCAGGGCTATCTTACACTCTCCAATCGATCTAGTTTATTTTTACTCAAGTACAAAATCAGGAAGCGAATATGAGGTCTAACGTCTCAGAAAATGTGTATGTTTTTATGTAATTTAAGTAACGCAATGAATAGATTGCAGTGATGTTGGCGGTGTCACCTGGCTTTTAAAAAGAATTCGTGACGTCTTTTAGCGAGGGGGATTATTTTCAATTGTTTGATGTCCTTGTAATATTTTAGCCATATATAGAATCTTCGATTCAGTTACATCTTTGATTAGCTAGACGACATGGAAACAGGACACAGTTGTTTTAAATGAAACATGGCAAAAGTGCATTTTCGTAGAAAGTAATTTACAAAACCTTTGTAACCAGGGCTCCGTAAAGCCCCCGTCACACTTATTCGGAATCAGCAGGAATCAAGCAGAACCAGCCGGAATGACTAAATTAAAAAAATTCGTACTACATTCGGGAAGAAATTTCAAATTGACCTAAATTCTTGTAAGAATGCCGTTGGAATACTCAGATGCGCTTGAATCCGCCTGGAATGATTCGTGTTCATTTCGGCTGTATTAGCTCTCAAATGCAGCTCGAATGTAGTGGGAAAACTAGGAATATCAGTAATGCTGTCGAATGCAGTCAGAATATTGAGAATATACTTCGAATGCCGTACGAGTGTAGTTCGACTGCTGACTGAAATAGGATCGAGATTCATTGAGTTGCATTCCGGCTCATTCTAGCAGGATTTGAAGTGTCTTGCCATTTTGGTTCTCCCTCGAATGTGATCAGAATGTTTCGAATGCTGTCGGAATGCCGTGAGAATATTAAGAATGCAGTCATAGTTAGACTTCTATTCAAATGCAATTCGAT